GTGCATGACAGGGGTGCGTACTGTAATGATTTGGGCATACCGTACCACCGTAGGTTCTTTAAATTCTTTAACGAAAAGGGGTGCTTAGTGGGCAATCGTTATATTCTACCCGGGTGCAGCTTCTTGTGTGTGTATTAGATTTACATTGCTATTACCAGAGCGTTTGGTACGGGAATTGAGTTAGGCATGAAGTAGCTGTACTTCTAATGATTCTTCCATGCACCATTCCCTGGCTATTTTGGCGAAAATAAACGAAATCTTAGACCTCGTGATTACGGAGTAGCCCTGGTTTGTCGCCTCTCTCAAATTTCCCACCATACACTGTGCGGCGATCTCTGGCGATTATCTTTCGAGGTTGTTACTTATCGCCAATGTCGTGAAGAGCACCCAATACCCAACCTAAAGATCGCAATCAACCCGTCAGGATCCGAAGCGGACGTCCTTACGATACGGTTTGCAGAACTTCACAGTTTGTCCGAATGCAGCTTAATGCGGTGTTTTAAGCTGTTATTTTTGGATGAATAATGGTTGGGTAGGGTTTTCAGCGATGACAGAATGTTGTGGTTTGGAGTCACCAGCACCGCCGGTTCTCGGGGGAGAAACAAGGTGTACAGACGGACGGAAGTTGTGCTTGTTTCGCTGTTGTACTACGCTGTTCATGGTTGTGAGCCCCACGGCCACACACAGTAATTTCCGTTCTGAGAGCTGATGTCAATATCAAGTACTGTACACTATACTGTACATAGTCGTTAGCGCCCACAGGTTCGGAAACATAGCTGGCGATTCGGGCGACGTCATCCGCACTTTCATTATAAGTTGCTGCCCCCGAACAGCGCGCCTAGAAGCCAGAGCAGAAGCACGGACAAGTTGACTTTTCGTACAGATGAGACGTTTATTTAGGGCGTGTCTGAAGTGCAAACGTCGAGTTTCGTCAAATTTCGTCGACGAAACTCATCCGTGGGACCCACGCGTGTTGGTGTCTGAAGTGCAGCCTGACATCCCTCGACGAAACTCGACGTTCGTGCACATGTCGAGGGATGTCGAACAGTGATACCGGGCAGCTGTTTGAGTCACTGTAGTCAGTGAGTGTTTCAAAAACAATTCTTCGACACGCCATGTCTGCATAGCTGTGGCAAACACACGTGAATAAGAACTAAGACGAGAGCGACACGTGCTAGAGAAATTTCGCTGGCAATGTGACAGTAGAATATCCGGTGTTACCAGCAACAATCTACGCTAAGCGAAATTCGCGAGATTGCAAACAATTGAGTTACATGAATGATTCTGTTAATTCCACGTCGAATTTTCATGGGCAACTTATAACAGTGTTCCTATGGCACGTGTGGGTTATTTTGTCGTGTGGGTGTCTGAAGTGAACACAGCTGAAAACGGATGTCGAGTTTCGTCAAGGAACGTCGACGAAAGTTTCGTCGGAAAACGTCGAAATTCACTTCAGACACGCCCTTACAGCAACAATGACAGTCAAGCGCGGCTCAGTCCCTAAAGTACTGTAGTGGTACACGCGGTTCCAACTTCCAAGGACAACCACCACTGCTTGGAGGTTTGATAAACTCGCCTCGCCACGCCACGATGGTTGACTATTGATGCCACGAGATCGTTGGATGGTTGACTATTCCTTTGAATTTTGAGGGGCACGGGATAAGGTTGGGCAGTCATCTTCAGTAGGTGCCGTGATAGTGCCGTGTAGACTCAACTCTGAATGGCCACAAACCATGCAGCGATGATACAGCGTTGGCAGCATGGCTCAAATCGCGTTCCACGTGGCCTCTATTGAGCGGCGCCGTCGCTCCTGAGCGCGCTGCGCTACACCGCCGCTGACAGTAGTGCGTGTGCGTACTTCCACCCCGCCTCCCTGGCTCACGCGAGCATTTCTCAGACCAACATCACAGTCGTGAGTGAGCATTCCCCTGTGTGCGCCACAAACGACACGAACTTCTTATCTGGGTGCCAAGCCAAAGCACGCAAGAAACGAGCAGTCACACACCTTATCACTCCCTCCCAGATGCCCCTCTTTCTCTCTCTCTACTTCTCATCTATTACGTCGCAGACATAGTCTCTCCGCCCTAAGCTTATTTACTCCTCGCAGACATTAGTATTAGTAGTCTCTCCGCCGCTCTAAGCTTACTCGTCGGAGCGCAGATATTGTATTCCTTCCGCCGTGAGCTGACATAGTTCTTCTCTACTCGTCGCACACATAGCATTCTTCCGCCGTAAACTGATCTACTTGCGGCAGACTCGCGAGTCGCAATGGCGGCGTCCGCCAAGTGGAGCCCCACCTGCGCCCTGCTGCTGCTGCTGCTGCTGCTGCTCCTTGCGGGTTAGCGACGTTTTAACCTCTCAGCCCCACCTACGCTCTGCTGCTGCTGCTGCTGCTCCTTGCGGGTTAGCGACGTTTTAACCTCTCAGCCCCACCTACGCTCTGCTGCTGCTGCTGCTCCTCCTTGCGGGTTAGCGACGAGCCCTGCGTTTTAACCTCTCGCCGCCGCAATGCGCGCATTCGCATCGCTAGCCCGTGCGTTCCCCGCCATGTGCTGTGCCGTGTGGTGTTGTGCGGTGATGTGCTGTGCTGACCGGCGGTGCGGGTGCTGTGCTGCTGCAGGCTCGCTGGACACTCCGTGGACGACCATCCGCACTACCGCTCTCGCGGTAAGCTCCGTTTCAACCCTGTGCTCCGTTATAAGTTTCAACCCCGTGCACCACCCGCGCTACCTGCCACGCTCAGCTTCTCGCCACGCTCCGGTCATTCTTAACCCTCCAACGCAAGCTAAAACTTTTCGCATACTCCATCTCACCATCGCATGCGCCGTCGCATACTCCATCGCATACTCCATCGCATGCGCCATCGCATGCGCCGTCGCATGCGCCATCGCATGCACCATCACACGCGTCATCATCGCGTGTGCCTTGGTCGCTGGTGCTCGCCTCGGTCAACAGCAAAACGTTGCTGAACTGCGCCGCACGCATCTAGAAAATGATGCTCTTTTAAAAAATAATGAGCATCTACTGTACATATTGTCTATGAGCACAGTACAAAATTGACAAAGAACCACAGCTTTGACAAAGTCTAATGGCAACGAAATGACCTAATCAAACATTGACGTTCTGATGCAAGTTATCAGTTACAATAGTATTTATCGTTTAAACACAAACGCTACTGGGAAACGCGAACACTCAATCTGGAAGGTCGACAAGGCGCCACCCGAAGCTCCATGGATTCGTTTTCTTGTTTCCGAGCCTCACTTCGGAACGTGCTGTTGCCTGGCTCTCGAAATGTAACCAGCACCAGCGATTTTTTATGTGCACCTTGGGTAAGTCTGCTCCCCGCCTACGTGCTCCCCGCCTGTGTACGGTTTCTCTCCCCTCCCCCTCCCCCCCGCACCCGCGTTTCCCGCAGGAGCAAATTTGAGACACCGAATGCTCTCTCTCTCTCTCTCCCTCCCGCGTGTGCGCTCTCCCTCCCCTCACCCCCTTTCCCTCCCTTTCCCGCAGGAACGTGCCTGCTGAAGTGCGTTCTCTTCCCCCGTGTGTCCGCCCTCCCTCCCGTGTGTCCGCCCTCCCTCCCGTGTGCCCGCCCTCCCTCCCGTGTGTCCGCCCTCCCTCCCGTGTGTCCGCCCTCCCTCCCGTGTGTCCGCCCTCCCTCCCGTGTGTCCGCCCTCCCTCCCGTGTGTCCGCCCTCCCTCTCGTGTGTGCGCACTCCCTCCCGTGTGTCCGCTCTCCTCTTCCCCACCACCCCCCTCTGCTAGACGCCCAGACTGGTGCTGGTGGGGTGGAGGTACTCAGTTCCTTTTGGCTTGACTGTTCCACCCCCGTGTGCGCGCTTTGCCCTCCCCCGCCGCCCCCTCCCCCTTCTCCTCGCATGCCTGCAAGACGCCAAGATGGTGCTGGCGCGGTGGGTGGAGGTACTCCCGCTGGAGTGACTTTTGAGTCACTGCGTGTTCTTCCCCCCGTGTGTGCGCTTTCTCCCCCTCCCCCCCCCAACCCCCCTCCTCCGTCAGGACGCCAAGATGGTGCTGGCGCGGTGGGTGGAGGTACTCCCGCTGGAGTCCTTTTTAGTTGACTCTTCCCTCCTGTATGTGTGCCCTCTTCCCACATGTGTGCGCTTCTCCCTTGCCCCCTTCCCCGTCCTCGCTGTCGGGACGCCAAGACGGGTGGAGGTAGGTACTCCCGCTGATGTCATTTTATTCACTGCATGCTCTTCCTCCCCCCCGCTCTCCTTCTCCCCCTTCCCTCCCCCATCTGTGTGCTGCCAGGACGCCAAGACGGTGGTGGTGGGGCGGAGGTACTCCCGCTGAAGTCCTTCTGTGACTCTTCCCCCTGTGTGTGCGCTCCATCCCCCCCTCCCCCCACCCCTGCATGTCCCCAGGACGCCAAGACGGTGGTGGTGGGGTGGAGGTACTCCCGTTGGAACACCAGAGTGCGCACGTGGCCGGCCCCTCGTGTCTTCTCTGGAGACGTTCTTGGTTAGTTCCTGCTGTCGCCTCCTCTTCACTGAGGCCCTGTACTGTGCTATGGTAAACTCGTTTTTTAGATGTGTCTAAAACAGTCTCTTCACTGAGGCCCTGAGCACCAGAGTGCGCATATGGCCGGCCCCTCGTGTTGTCTCTGGAGACGATCTTGGTTAGTGGTCAACTGAACTTCTTAACAAGCTGTTCAACTTCTTTTTTGACAAAGTTGTTCCTGCTGCCGCCTCCTCATATCACTTCTCCTCACACTTCTCTCTCTCTCTCCCCACCCTCACACCTCTCTTGATCCCCAAGCACACCTTTTTGCTCTCCCCACACACACTCGTTTCACTCTCTCTCGCTCGCCCTCTCTTGCACTTGCACTTGCACATGCCCGTCCCCAACTCAGCGTTTGAGTGGAACAACTGGCTGCACCAGCACAATCTGGTGGGCGTCGATTCATATAGCTACGCCATGTGTTATGACTTGACTCAAAACACCCTCTCCGTTCCTTGCGCTTGCTTTCCCCCAATCCAGTGTTCAAGTGGAATGACTGGGTGCGCAGGCACAACCTGGTGGCCGTGGATGCCAATCGCTACAACCTCTGCCACTTTGGGGCTTCTGGCGATCCCTTCACTGTGCTTCATGGGCCATCTAACCGTGCCACTGTCAAGGTTACAGTGGGAGATTCAACCCTCACTGGGTATTACACCAGCTCCTCTGGCAACGACTGCCTCACAGGCATGAAGGTTGTCATCATTGCTGAAGATGCTGCTTGAGTTCGAGGAGCCTACATTAGTGTACATTTTGTTATGAATTCATTGGTTATGAGAATTTTGTTGGAATTTGTTGAGCTGAGAAAGTCCTTAGGATCTTTTAGAGTTTAGCCTCTGTAAGGTATTGCAGCGGAAGTCTTGAATTCCTGTGCTGGTAAATTGTGAGAACAAGAATTGAATAATAAAGAAAAGATACAAGAGATTTATAGTCTACGAAATTACCTATTCAGAGTTGTACCTGTTCATGGAACGGGCTAGTTATCGAATCGTCTCTACGAAGATGTATAATCCGGTGTCAAACATATATATTTGTATGTTCTAGGCTGTAGTGATGCATGCATGCATCAATATTTGCACTTTTACCGCGTCCTTAGGGTTTGCATTTGTACCCACCACCTTTCCCAACGAACCATTCCGTTCTGCGTACTTCTTGAGATGGTATCACGCCTTAGGTTCGTTCCCTCGCCTCGCCTAGCCTAGCTCGCTCCGTCCATAGGGCCTCACGCCCTATGTTCCGCCCTCCCTCCTAGCCCGTTTCCGTGCGACCCTAGAGCCCGCGCCCTAACCTAGCGCGAGCCCACGCTCAGCCCGCACCCAGCCCGTGCCCTAGCCTAGCGTGCACCCTGCCCCAGCCCGCCGCGTTGCCCGTGCGCCCTGCCCTAGCCTGTCGCGTAGCCCGTGCGCCCTGCCCCAGCCCGTCGCGTCGCCCGTGCAGAGCAACGCGCGCCCCTGCAGTGCAGTGCGCGCCAACGTGCAGGGCAGCGCGCGTCCTAGCAGAGCAGCGCCCCTGCCCAGGAACGCGCACCCCAGCCAGGAACGCGCGCCCCTGGCCAGACATGCACGCTCCTGGCCAGACATGCGCGCCCCAGCCAGAAACGCGCTCCACACCTCCTCCTAGCCGCCCACACCTCCTCCTAGCCGCCCACACCTCCTCCTAGCCGCCCACACCTCCTCCTAGCCGTCCCCACCTCCTTCTAGCCGCCCACTGGCACCTCTTTGCAGCGGCTGGCACCTCTAGCGCACCACGGCCCGTAGCAGGCCGTTCTCGGGCTTTCTCACTGTCGGTATTTCCCGTTCCCTACCGTTCCTTTACTGGGTTCACCGTTCCGCCGCGACTGGAGGCCGCTACTCCTAGTCCTAGTTTCACCTGGCGCTCCTAGTTGTTCTCGCTCCGTGCTCCGGCCGTTCCTCGCCTAGTTTCACCTGGCGCTCCTAGTTGTTCTCGCTCCTCGCTCCAGCCGCTCCTCGAGCCCGTTGTTTCTAGCCTGTCGTTTCTAGCTCCGGCCGTTTTTCACTCCAGCCGTTCCTGCTCCAGTCGCTTCTAGCTCATTTTGCTCCGTGCTCCGGCCGTTCCTCACCTAGTTTCACCTGGCGCTCCTAGCTGTTCTCGCTCCTCGCTCCCAGCTCAGTTTGCTCCGTGCTCCGGCCATTCCTCGCCTAGTTTCACCTGGCGCTCCTGGCTATTCTCGCTCCTCGCTCCAGCCGCTCCTCGAGCCCGTGGTTTCTAGCCTGACGTTTCTCGCTCCAGCCGTGCCTCACTCCAACCGTTCCTCGTTCCAGTCGCTTCTAGATCAGTTTGCTCCGTGCTCCGGTCGTTCATCGCCTAGTTTCACCTGGCGCTCCTAGCTGTTCTCGCTCCTCACTCCCAGCTCAGTTTGCTCCGTGCTCCGGCCGTTCCTCGCCTAGTTTCACCTAGCGCTCCTAGCTGCTCTCACTCCTCGCTCCTAGCTCCAATCGCTCTTAGCCTGCCGCTCCTGCACCCCGCTAGCCTTTACCATGGCGTCCACTAGAGTACTCCGGCAGCAGTGACAGCAGCAGCGGCAGTTTCAGCAGTGGGAACCTCAGTAGCAGTGGCGCCCTTAGCAGCAGTGGCACCCTCAGTAGCAGTGGCGCCCTCAGCAACAGAGGCGCCCTCAGCAGTAGTGGCGCCCTCAGCAACTGACCACTCTGCACAGCGCTGCTACAGCCGCCTCGACGACTTATACCGTGAGCGTTTTGGGCCTGAGTCGAGGCCACCGATCTGGCCCGGTCTGTCTCGTAGTGGTTACCCTGTGTTTGATATGTCTATGGATGCTTTTTATTCTGTCATGTATGGATCTCTTGGCTTGCGTGTACCTAGTTTAGGACCTTTGCCTGTTGCTTGTGTAGGTACTTGTGCTTTTAGTGTAGGTGCTTGTGTAGTCACTACTTCAGTCGTGACAACTGCTGTCGCGTCGCTCTCCTTCACACTGGACTCAGGCGCGTCTCAGTGCTTCTTTTGCGACCACACCACTGTCACACCTATTTCGGCTCCAGGTTACTACGTCCCCCCAGGTAGCAGAGTCCGATGAGGTTACTGCGTCCCCTTCGGTTGCTGTGTCTAGTCAGGTTGCTGCGTCTGGTCAGGTTGCTGTGTCTTGTTCCTGTCAGTCTCTCGCCCACCCGACCGTCTTGTGGCACCACCGTCTTGGCCACCTGTCGATCCCCCACCTCCGCAGCATGGCTAGTCACCGTCTTGACTCGGGTCTCCCTCGCGTCTTTGCGTCGCTCCCTCCCTCGCGTGCACCGCCGTGCACTCCTTGCGTCGCCGGCCGCCTGCGCGCCACTCCGCACTCCTCCTCCCTTCGTCCGACCACTGCTCCCTTCCAGACTCTCCACTGAGACGTCTAGGGCCCTGCACCTACGCAGGGACCTGAGAGGGAGCACTACTTTCTGGTGGTCGTCGACGACTACTCCAGGTACACCACGATGTTTCCTCTCGCGAAGAAGTCCGAGGTGACTTCTACGGTGATCCGGTGGCTTCTGGCCACTGAGGGCACTCGTGGTCGTCGTATCTCCTGTCTCCACTCCGATCGTGGGGGCAAGTTTTGCTACGGCATTCTTCGCGGATTCTGCAGCAAACAAGGCATCTCACAGTCCTGGACGCTCCCGGAGTCCCCACAGCGGAATGGGGTTGCTGAGCGCCGCATTGGCTTGGTCATGGACATCGCCCGCACGTCCATGATCCATGCTTGTACGCCCCATTTTCTGTGGCCCTACCCGGTTCGCTACGCCGCCCACGAGCTGAACCTCCAGCTGCGTGTCTCGCCGCCAGAGGCTTCACCGACTAGTCTTTGGACCGGGTCCCCTAGTGTTGGGTCGGCCTTTCGTGTCTGAGGCTGCCTTGCGCTTGTCCGCGACACCTTTGCGGACAAGCTCTCGGCTCGCGCCATCCCTTGTGTCTTCCTTGGTTTCCCGGTGGACTCTCCCGACCACGCCTTTTACCACCCGCCCCTCCACCAGTTCCTAGACTCCCGTGACGTCTGATTTGACGAGTCAGTGTCCTACTACACTCGCTACCCCTATCGAGGTCTCCCGGTTCCCCCTCCTCCCCTTTTCCTTGCACCCTCTCCTCCCCCTGCTCCCGCTCCTCCGGTACCCCCGCCCCCCCCTGGTCCTGTCTCACGCTACCCCTCTACCCTCGGTCGCACGTCAGGTAGTGTCTCCCTCCCCCCTGGAGCTGGAGGTGCTGACACTGGAGGTACTCGTTCTGGGGGTGCTCTTTTGAGGGGTGCTGGAGCTGGAGGTGTTGGCACTGGAGGTGCTAGTTCGGGGGGTGCTGGAGCTGGAGGTGCTGGCGCTAGAGGTGCTAGTTCTGAGGGTGCTGGAGGTGGAGGTGCTGGCGCTGGAGGTGCTAGTTCTGGGGGTGCTGGAGCAGGAGTTACTGACATTGGAGGTGCTAGTTCCGAGAACACTGGAGCCGAGGCACTACTACTGCGCCTCCCCACCGCCACGACACACGTCTCCAGGCAGCTTGGCAACGTGAGCGTGAGGAGCAGGAGCGGTTGGAGCAAGAGAGGCAGGAGCTACGGCAGTTGGACCTACAGGAGCAGCAGAAGCAGCAGCAGCAGCAGCAGAAGCAGCAGCAGCAGCAGCAGCAGAAGCAGCAGCAGCGTTCGCCGCAGCCGCCACTTTTGCAGCAGCTGTTCCCACCAGTGAGTGGCCTTCGGGCCCTTGGTTTTCCCTCCGCTCCTCCTGTCCACTCACAGTCTCCTATCGCGTACGGCCCTACGTTTCCTCCTCGGGACTCGGCTTCGGCTGTTTTCTCTCCTCCTCAGTCACAGTCGTTTCCTCCTGTTCTCCTGCACGACTGGACCACTTTTTGTCCCCCGCGTGCTCGTCCCTCGTCTCCTTTTGACGACCTCTGCGCTGTCTTGTTTCATTCTAGTCCTCGTCGTGCTCCGCCTGTGTCTGTTCTCCCGCCACCTCCTGCATCGTCTCTCATTGTCTCCTCTCACCCTATCACTGACTACTACCATGCTGCTCGTCCGGTTGTCTCGCGTGTTCTCGCCTCTCTTGTCACCGACCCTTGTGCCTCTCCGTCGTCTGTCTCGGCTCTTACTGCCGCTGTCGCTAACTTTGCTTCCACCCGTCGCCTTGAATTCGCCCCGCATGTAGTGGCTGCTCTGCCTGCCCGTCCTCTGTCCGCCGGGGGTGAGTTTTCCCTTGGCTGTGACATCCTAGAGGATAGGCAATTTGAGCTAGAGTTCTTGGCAACCGCTTCTCCCTCTCTATGTGCCATGATGCTTTCCCCTAAGGGAGACCCCGACGCCCTTGACATTCCGACTCCTCGCACGTACCGTGAGGCAGTGTCAGGGCAGTGGGCCTCTCAGTGGAAAGCGGCCATGGACTCAAAGATGGCGTCTTGGAGATCCACAAGCACCTACATCGACGCAGTTCCCCCTCCTAGGGCGAACGTAGTCGATGGCATGTGGATCTTCAAGGTGAAACGATCGCCTGGATCGCCGCCTGTGTTCAAGGCGCGCTACGTGACTAGAGGTTTTAGTCAGCACGAGGGAGTTGACTTCTTCCAGACCTTTGCCCCGACCCCAAAGATGACGACTCTTCGGGTGCTACTTCACGTTGCTGCTGTCGCCGCTGCTGTAGCTGCAAGGAGAGGGGGAGGGGTTGGGAAGGGCAGGCGGCGACGAGGTGGTCGCGGCGGCGGAAACCGCGGGCGATGGCAGTGCGATCACGGTGGGAGG